GCACAGCAGAGGGACCCGTAGCTGAGAGACTGGAATCAGCTGGGACCGTGTGGCCCCTGAAACTCACCAGGTAAACACAAAATGAGCTTTTGATCATCTTATACTTGTTATCAGGAGGTTATAAGACATTTAAAACACATAAAATGTTCCTACATTTTAGTTTCCCTTGTCCTTGCTGCAGGATGTAGAATATCATCTCAAAGAAAGTTAACATTAATAAACGATATAATAGTGAATTGAAACTGTCATTTGTATCATTTCTATCTCCAGTTTGGTGCAGGAAAAGTTTGAAATGGTATTTTGAAAATGCTTGAACTTTGCAGGTGAAGCGTCTTTCTGTACATCCCGTTTGTCCCGCTCCGCTCATGTTTGTTGTCCGTCTCGTCCCTCCAGCATGGAGCTGGAACATGTGATAACCCTTGGCCTGGCGCTGCTTCTCGCCATCAAGTACGTCTTCTTTGAGCAAGCGGACACCGAGTCCTCCCTGTCTCTCAGGAGTCCCATTAGCGGCGCCTCTCTGGTTCAGAAGCCACGGGCAGCCGACAGCTGCTGCAGGAGGGACCAATCAGCTGCCAGGAAAAGCTCCGCTGGTGTCTTAGCAACCGGGGTTGCTTCCTCGGCGGTCTCAGACGTTAAACCGTTGCCTGAGGCTGACATTACCTGTAAAGGTATCTTTTTGTTTTGGGAGATTCCTCCCAGATTTAACACTCTGTGGCTTTGATTAGATGGATCTTCTTCCTGTCTGTGTTAAAATGATAAAAACATGAATCTCATTAGAATATTCTTGATCATTTTAGGATCATTCGGCGGCTGTGCTTCACCTCGCCTGGAGACGTGCAGAGCTCCTGCAGGCTGTGGAGCAGAACCTCGCTCACTGGAGGAATGCATGGCCGTCCTCTCTGACCCCCAGGTGACTCACCAGACCACACAGACAGCTCAGGTAGTTTTTGATGGTGTGGAAATGGTTTCTGATGCTTTTTAAAATATTTCTTTTTTCTAGAGGGGTCCAGAAATGCTGACGGATTCAGAGGTGATCAACCTGGTGACCGCTAGGAAGATCCTGAACTACAAACTGGAAGCGCTGCTGGAGACTCCAGAAAGGGGCGTGGCCATCAGGAGAGAGATGCTGGCGCTGAAACTTCCTGTCAGCTCCGCTTTGTCTGGTCTGCCTTACAAAGGCTACGACTATTCAAAGGTATTTACCGGTTCCCTCGTACTTTAAAGGGGCAGTATTATTAATAATATATAAATAAATGCCGTTATATATCAAATATCACTTATAAGAAATTTGACTTTGTAGTTTGCTAATTGCTGCTGGCTAGTCTGAAGGAGCTGAGTAGGGGAGGAGCTTCATCCTTGGAGGCGGGGCTAGGTCCACCCAGGTGCTTTGCACAACTGAATGGTTGCCATGGAAATTAAAGGATTTCTCAAACATGCATGAAAGAATCAAAGCAACACTCCAGGAATGTTTTTGATGAGGGAACAACATAACAATGTAAAACTCATAAAATTGATTTCACGTAACACTTCCCCTTTAAGTTATCCTGTTTTTATGTTGCCATAGAAACCGTTTCAGCTCCTCATCCGCTGCTTTGTGTTTCATTTTGTGTCGCTGTAGGTGATGGGCGCTTGCTGCGAGAACGTCATCGGCTACATGCCAGTGCCAGTGGGCGTGGCCGGCCCGCTGCTGTTGGACGGCCAGCAGTTTCATGTCCCCATGGCGACCACGGAGGGCTGCCTCGTGGCCAGCACCAACAGAGGATGCAGAGCGGTTTCTGTAGGTACACTGGCTCCTGCTCCAGTCATGTCCGGTGCACTCCGTCGCTAACCGTTAGCGCTCTTCTTCTTCTTCCCCCGTCCAGCTGAGCGGGGGCTGCAGCAGCAGGATCCTGGCCGACAGCATGACCAGGGGTCCTGTGGTGAGGCTGCCTTCGGCGTGCCGGGCCGCAGAGGTCAAAATGTGGCTGGAGACGACGGATGGGTTCGGCTTGGTCAAGGAAGCCTTCGACGAGACCAGCAGGTGGGAAACGACCGCGGCGGTGATTTTTTTTTATTTTTTGTTTCACCTGAGAGGCAGAAAGATCAAAACTAGACGTTTGTGTTTGCAGGTTTGCCCGTCTGGAGAAGCTGCTGGCCTGTGTGGCAGGAAGAAACCTTTACATTCGCTTCCAGTCGCAGACGGGCGACGCCATGGGGATGAACATGCTCTCTAAGGTACAGCCAGACAGCCAAGCTCTCCTTGTTGGCAGCATTGAACATTTTCAACACCTTTCAAAACCTTAAAGTATTTTATGTAGAGCTGAGCGATTGATCAAATGTTTGGTTTTATTATTGTTTAATATTTGGAAAGGATTTTTTTTTTTTTTTGTGGTATTATGACTAAAATTCTCGTAGCCTCACCCTGACACTCCACCATGCAACTCACAGAAGGGTTGACTGAAGTAAGAAATACTCTCATTTGTAAATTTATCATTATTTTTACTTTTTAGAAAAGAAATTGGGGAAAAAAAAATGTGATTTTAAAATCAGAACTGAGATTTTTCACCAAGCGCTTTATTTTGTGCTACACCGACTCAAAACGGTGCTCGACTGTGGATGAAATGAGTTGGTTTTTTTCCCTTCATTTCTTGAAAAAGTTCCCAGTGTGTCCAACACCATAGATAAAGGTGTGTATGTGTGTGCGTGTGTGCGCGTGTGCACGCGCCCTTCAGGGGACGGAGCAGGCTCTGGGTCGGCTCAAGCAGCACTTCCCAGACATGGAGGTTCTGTCTGTCAGTGGTAACTACTGCACTGACAAAAAGTCTGCTGCCATCAACTGGATCCTGGGTCGGGGGAAGTCCGCTGTGTGTGAAGCCACCATCCCTGCCCAGGTGGTGAGGGAGGTAAAGGATCCAACAGGAAATGATGTCAGCTCGAGTTCCCGTCGTCCCTAGCTGTGCTCATAGTGTTGTGTAAATGTTCTGCTGCAGGTTCTGAAGAGCAGCACGGCCGCTCTGGTGGATCTGAACATCAGTAAGAACCTGGTGGGCTCGGCCATGGCCGGCAGCATAGGGGGCTTCAACGCACATGCTGCCAACATCGTCACCGCCATCTTCATCGCCTGTGGACAGGTAGAGCAGCACCGAGCGCGCTCAGACCGGAGCTGCTGTTAGTTTAGTGGTTAATGGACGGACTTGGTGTGACCAGTCGTCCTCCCAGTTCCTCACTGGTGCTGTTGCTATGGTGCAGGACCCGGCTCAGACCGTGGGGAGCTCCAGCTGCATCACTCAGATGGAGGCTGCCGGCCCAGACGGAGACGACCTGTACATCAGCTGCACCATGCCGTCCATAGAGCTGGGCACTGTGGGCGGAGGCACCAACCTGCCGCCACAGCAGGCCTGTCTGCAGGTACCACCACCCCAACCACCAATCTGCAGAATGCGGCAATTTTTTAAATCGGATTAATTGTCAGAATAATCAATTAATCGATAACTAAAATCCTCATCAGTTGCTACTTGGTGCACCTGCAGTGCAGGAAATGTTCTGAGGCGTTTCTGTCGTTCTTCCTCTACAGATGCTTGGTGTCGCCAGGCCCAACCAGCCGGGAGAGAACGCCCGCCAGCTGGCCCGCGTAGTGTGTGCCACCGTCCTGGCGGGGGAGCTGTCTCTGATGGCCGCTCTGGCAGCAGGACACCTCGTCAAAAGCCACATGACTCACAACAGGTAGGGTTGCTTGTTTTTTTTTAAGTTTTTGTTCCCAATGCTGCCTCCACCACCTTTTTCGGCCATTTCTGACTGCATGTCTCTCTCTCTCCCCTCTCAGATCTAAGACCAGCCTGCCCGAGATGGCTTTCCCAGCGACTGAGACAAACGTCCCTAAGCGTTGACGCTTCGTCCAAAACTGCTATAAACACAGCCTGTGTTTGGTTGCTCTCTGACTGCAAATCTTTTTTTTTTTTTTTTTTTTTGTTTGTTTCTCAGTGGAGATGTTACCATTACTAATGTGTGCTATTTATTTGCATCTTTTTTTTTTTTCATCCTGGCCAATCAGCTTACTGAATCTGACATGTGAGAAAACCTGTTTAATGATTGTTAAACAGGTTTAAACCTGTCTGCATTTGCCAAAAGCTTGCTGGAGACGGTGCTGCAGATGTGTGTGAGGCCATTTCTGCTCACGTTTCGAACCCTGAATGTGTTTTTTCCTGCCAGTGTTGTAAGCTCCGGCCCGTGCCATCCTACCTGACTAAAAGCTCGCTGCTGTATACTGTGTATACTACGGAGCGGCCATGACTGCTGGTCTTCTTGGCTCCCGCTCGGATCCACTAACTAGTCGTCACTGCTGGGAAACAAGAGACTTAAAGCAATATTTATTTATTTTTTAACCTTTTCATGTGAAAGTATTGGATTCCTGCAGGTGGTGAATGTTAAAGGACGGTTGTGATAAATCAGACAGATTCTTGTATTGCCATCCTCAGAAGTGGCCTTATGCGTTACAAGTGGAGCTTTACATAGAATATCCAATTCAAAGAAATTTCTTACACTTGTAATCATATTTAAAAAATAAAACGCTACCTTTCTACTTGGTGAACTCATCTTTATAAAACAAAAGAAGCTCAAGTTCTTTAACAGCTTTTATTTTTCATACATTTTGTTTTTCTATGTCAAGATTATTTTCTCTTCAATTAAAATACCTTTTCCAAGTAATTTGATGAAGTCAAACGGATCTATGGTCAATATTCCTGAAACATCTTTGACATAGTATCACAAACATGTTTGTATTCAGTATTTGGCAGGAGGTTTTAAGAAAACTATTTAGTGGTATATGAAGAATAATCTGGTTTTAATCAGTCCACTCCATAAACTATTTGATTTCATTATAAGAATCTGTGTTTTAGGCAAAACCCATCACTTCATCTATAAAATTTACAATGTAGAAACAGAATTTCTACAAAAAAAGATTAATGTGCTTAAACTGTAAAGAGGACGAGAGTTTGAGGGAAAAAAAGCAAAAAAAAAAAAAAAGGATAAATGGATTTATTTCACTTTCAAAACAGGGCAGAAGAGATGCCACAGTACAGTACATTTACAGGCCGATCCCAAAGCGTTAGTATGAACAACTTTACAAAAAGTCAAAGTACATTCAGTTTGACCAAAACACAGAAAACTCAATTTACAGGAAAATGTTTGCTTTCAGATTAAAACGGCCTAACCCTGGCATTTTTCCAACGAGCAGCAGGCCGAGCGAACTCCTCCATCGCGTCTTTCAGACAGAATGTCTGAATTCACAAGCTTAGGAATAACCGGGAAAGAAAACGTAGGAAAAAGTAGCAGAACAGACAAGGTAATGCAGTACAGAGAAAGAATAGAAAGTATTAAAAATAAGTAAAATTGAAATCTGTTAATTTGCCTTGATGTTACAGAGCGTAACATTCTTCCACATGATCAAGAAGAAAAAGCTGCAGTACAAATAATTTTTTTTAAATGACCTGTTCAAATTGTGCCAGTGGAGTCCTTCATGTAACAAATCCCAGAAATACTAACACTGATTGTGACACGTTTATTCTAGAGCTTGGAATATGGCTCGTTCTGTGGACAACATGAGTAACTCCTCACCGGGTTCATTTGTTCAGTCAAAAACACGGCAAGACCAGATTTGAGTCGAATAAAACGAACGCACCCGAGAGGCACTTCCTCTATCAGCAACCTTCTACGTCTTCCTGCGACACTAAGGCATCTGGGCTCGAGTCAAAGCTTTGCAAACCGTCGGCGGAAGCCATGACAACTATTTACATTCGTAGCGAAGCGTGGTCGCGAAGAAAGCAAAACTGGAACGGTGTTATTCACAGTTGGTGAATGTGCAGGCGTCGTGATAATCCCTGGTTCCTCCTTCAAACACCGGCATGTCGGGTGGTTTCATTAGAGAAACGTACAGCTTCTATCATCGGGCTCGCACGCTAACGGGAAGCCCTCTGGAGATTACACAGCCGAGATGTGGGGAAAATAATAATAATCAACTCAAAACATGACATTATCCACACAAAAATAGTTACTTATTTCAGTCTAAAAACTAAGATTTTCTTTGTTTTGTTTGTTTTATAAACTTCTTTCCAGAGTTTCCAAACATTTAGGTACATCAGGGGAAGCAGCTGCAGAGTGTTTCCCCTTCACTCTGATGGGTGGAGAGTCTTCTCAGTGTTGTTATTAAAAAATGGTAATCACGTCTTGTCCAGTCAATTTATAAACATTCTTTTTTTTTTCCAGACTAGTGGTGCTCTTCTCTTGAGCCTTATGATCTATCATGCACCCACCCTACGTTTTAGCTACAAACCAGGACAAAAAGAAAAGAAAAATAACGTCTTTTCTTGGAGGGATGGAGTTTGGAAATAGAGTCCCTCCAGTCCTTCTGCCGTAGATCTGACCTCATTTTTTGATCCTAAAAAAGATAAAGAACGGTGATGGCATCACTCTGCAATATTATTTTAAATGTAAAATAACCCCGTCTCAGCAGAAAACTCATTTTACCTGCATGTCTCAGAATAAGATGGGCTTGCCGCTGGTTTTTTCTTGCACATAGGAAGTGAAGCGCTTGAGGAACTTGGGGTACTCCCTCTTAGCTACGGCCCTGAGTACGGAGGCTGGAGCCCAGCCCCCCGGATTCACTGCACACACACAAACACACACGGAAACATTTAAATTATTTATAGAATAATATCCAATTACTCCCATCATTTTGACAACAAGTCAAAATGATGTCAAAGATTTTAAAAGGGGAGGAAAAAGGTTCCCATCAAGAGGTTGTGCTTAAAGTTGCTGCATTCACAGATTTTTCTCCAATTAACACTTTTGTTTAATGGACAGTTTGCGTTTATTATTACTATTTATATTAGATTGCATAGTTGGACTAATTTCTCCAAGATTTGTCTGGAAGCAATTAGTTTTCATTTAGCTTGTGGCATTTTATTTTGGTTTCCTGTCCTGGCTGCCCAGGTAAGCAGCAGGGCGTCAAACGTATTATTTGGTTGGTGTCACTGATGCAACTGGATGGAGTCAGAACAACAGTGTGAATGAAAAACAGGCGACAAAAAAAACTATTTCTGGAAAGTCTATAATCGGGTGATTAGCTTAAAAAACTTTTACCTTTTATTTTTCAAAATATAAGCTTTGATTTTTTGAAATAAAATTAGCAGACTAGAAGTTTATGTTTACAACTAGTACACACAAAAATATTATAGTTGGAAAAGATATAGAATAAGGTATGAACAGTCATGGCCAACTAATACAGTGTTCTAAATTAAAGTTGAAAATGTAAATATTGGAAATAATTGCATTAAATAAATAAAGGCATCAGAATTGGACCCAACAAACTAAAATCTAAATGCAAAATTTGGAAACAAAAAAAATTGAATAAACTGTATCACCACAGAAGTTTTTTAGTACATATTTATTTATTTGTCATCTGCTGTGAAACTATTTAAGCTCTTACTGTGCATCACTAACAGGCTAGCAGCTGATTGGTTACCCAATAAAACCAATGATCTATAGCTGAGCAACGTTAGTTGAGTTGACTGAATATATTCTGCATCCATGACATAGTATAGTTTTTTTTCATGTAGGTTATGTAACATATCATGTTCTCACATTAAATTTTAGTGGGCACATTAGAGTAACCGGTTACTGATTTTTTATGATTATTTTTATTCACTGCATTGTGGCACCGATTGTCTTCCATATAAATGAAAATGCAGTAGAATTACCATTGGCAACATAGGTGATTTTACACAGGATGTTGTCCCTGCTGATCTCTTTGTCTCCCTCTGGTGGACTGACCAGGGTCTGACAGATCATAGCGATGTTGATTTTGGCACGCACACATCTGCTGCTCGTCTGAACGAGGGAAGAAAACCAGAAGGTTACAGGAAGAACTCGGTTGTTGTGGTCTGTGGGACGTGGAGCGGATCTGGGTTCTGACCTGAGCCTCGTCGTGATCCACAGAGAAGTTGCACACCAGCCAGGTGTCGGGGTCATTCTCGTTGTTGGCCAAAATCTTCCTCATGGCAGAAAGGTACAGCACGTCCCTCTGGGATGCAGGCCACACACGCTGCAACACAGGTTGGCTCATCAGGCTGCAGATCTACAACACCAGGATGTTTGGTTTGGGACCTAAAGCATTCCAGCCTCTGGCTCTTACCTTGTGTGTTTGGTAGATTATTGCTGCGTTGTCTGAAAGTCTCTCCACCACATTGAAGTTTTCAATAGTAGCTGCAGAAAGAAGAACGTAATGTTTTTCATTTCATTTCCTGAAATGAAATGAAAAACAGCTCCTGAGCTGGTTGTCTGAACACAGGGTTCATTTAGGGTGTTTTCACACCCGATAGTCTGCTGAGTCGTGACTCAAACTCTGATACAGAGCAAAAAAGAAAACTCTGCTCCGCCCAAAAACCTGGGTCTCAGCTCGGTTGAAGTGAACTCTCATCTAATTCAAATGCGTATGTGAATGCAAAACTGACCAGAGCCGGCTCCAAAAGCTGCAGTCAGCCTTACTCAGAATGGGCAGGGCATTCTGGGTAAAAAACAACCAAAACAAACGCAAAAGTCTAGCAGCAGAAATGGCTCACTGTCTTTTCCTAAAGATGACGGAGTAATCATACAACTATTAGCTCCTCCATTTTTGTTTGTTTTTTGTGAAAAAGGGATTTGCTTCCAGTGTCTTCTTCAGAGGATTTTATGGCGTTTCCTTCAGTCGTTCGTGGAGCAGCGCCACCACAGGCGAGGAGGATAAACAGGTTTTTCAAAGGGCTTGGTTTGTTTGACACCAAACCCTGTAACATGCCTCATCAGCTGAAAATGTAACAAATGCTGCAGTCTACTGGACTTCCAGACCTCAAAGACTTACTTTCCCAGTCGTTGCGGTACATGGTGTCCCAAAAGTAGTGGCAGACTTCATGACCTGTGACTCCCTTCACAGAGTGGGTGGCCTTCAAAGGGTCCAACACAATCCCATTTTCCTCCACTTCTCTCCTGTAAACCTGCGTTGCAAACATGTCGGGAAACCTTCTTTATTCCTTATACCAAACTTAAAATGAACCTCCCATTTATTTGTGCTTTTTGGAATACCGTCACAGTTTCTGTGAATATGGCCTCACCTTCATCTCTCCCTCTTCTACAACCAGTTGCCAGTTGGCGTCTCCACCGACATCCTGCAGCGAGTAGGTCATGTGATTCTGCACCATCTCTTCCACCTACAACACAAGGCAAGCGACAGGAAGAGGGAATGAATAATTTAGATGCAATCAGAGAGCAGAGGGATTCTAAGGGATGGCGTCACCAAGTGGTAAACAATAGAAACAACAACTGATACTCATTGAAACATTAAAACCTCCACCTTCTTGGATGGAGAGCATCTGAGGAAAGCAATATCTAAGTCTCATTGCAGGTTCTCAGTTGTCTTGACTAGCCTTTATTGAGGAGTATCAGACAAAAGCAGACTATTTAAAGACCTTGCCTCATGAAAACATGATGTCCAGTTTAAACAGGGGAAACAGGAAAATGACTGAAAGACTTGCTCAGTGGTTCCACTATGACTCTATTGACCATTTAACTACACAAATTGGAGTTCAGAATCTGCTTAATGGAAACAAGATAATTTCAAAAAACCTCACATTTTTTGATGAAAAAGTTTTTGTGCTCGGATGAGATGGCTTTTCGGCCA